ACTATTCTAAACATAGTATTATGTTGAGTTTTGGCCACTTTTTTGTTAACAAAACCATATTTGGTGAATATTTAGAATATACAAAATTTGGTATCATTTCAAATACATTTTTTTTTCTTTGAAAAAACTATGGTTAAGATTAAAACATTAAAAACTTGATTTTTTCAAGACAAATGGAAAAAGCAGAGATTAGATGATTAAATTTGAAACATATAAGAAAAAATATTGAATACGTAAGAAATTATATTTGTGATCGAAAAAATGAAAAATTCAATAATATACATAAGTTTCAAATTTTTTTAGAATTTTCAATTTGTAATGTTTATAAAATAGTGTGAAACGAAAATGTTCTAATTTTGAAGGTAAGCGTATATATTTTCAGAATTTTTAATGAGTTAGAAAATTGGCTATATATTAAAGTTTATAATGTGTTTGGCAATTGAACTAAAAGTAACCAAAATAGATATAACAAGTGAAATAGTGTTTGGCAAATGGAATATATAATTATAAATAAAAAAAATTTAATTAAAAAAAAGATGAAAAAAATTGTAGGTTTGACACCTAAGAAAATTTGTTCTAAAATGCTTCTCCTTTAATATATAGAATGTTTTATTTTTTTCTCTTTATCATTATTAATTATCATGCTGTTTAAATATTTTTAGTCGTTAATTAAATTTCAAAGTAGGCTACACTATGGAATATAACAAGTGCAAGAAAAGAAATATCATACTATTAAATAGCAAAAAGCCTGCGGATATTCATGCCTAAAAAAAGTCTTTTACTCTTTATGGATATACTCCCTCAGTTTCATAATGTAAGTTGGTTTAGAGGTTTTTTTTGTTTCAAAATGTAAGTTGTTTTGATAATTTCATATACTTTTTACCTTTATTGAACATTGTATGACCACTAATATTTTGCAATCTTTTGTGTGATTGGTCAAATTATTTTTACTAAATATATTAAATAATATTTTTTTGCAGAAAAATAATTTCTTAATATTTGTGTTTTAAGCTAAAACAATTTATATTGAAATAGAGGGAGTATATATTATGGGAATACAAACATTTTACTAAAGTGTAAACATCATTTCCTAGTGTACTCATGTACATGAAAAATAAAGGCTGATGACAATTAAAATTATTGATTAAAAAGAGAAAAAAGAAGAAGAAATTTTTTTTCCCTAATTTTTTAACTTTTCATAATATGAATAATTCAATTTACATATATGAAATGTCCGTATCAAGAAAACAAATCTTG